GGTTTGGGGGATATTTAGATACTCGGAATTATACTATCTTTTCTCCACAATAAACAATTATAACTATGGGGCCGTGGTGGTTCAGTGGCAGAATTCTCCCTTTCCATGTGGGAGACCTGAGTTTGACTCCTGACCAGTGCAACTTTTGGGCAGCCACCACCTGTCTGTCAGTGGGGTCTTGTGTATTGCTGTAATGCTGAACAGGTTTTGGTGAAGTTTCCAATAACTAACACAGACTAGGAAGAAAGGCCTGGTGATCTAGTTCTGAAAAATCAACCAGTGAAAACCCTTTGAATCACAACGGTCCAATCCCATCATGCATGGGGTTGCCATGAGTCAGATGCCAACTCAAGTATAGCTAACAAAAGCAATTATACTGTGCTTTCAGCTTTCTTTTCTGAAGTTATCATGTAGCCTTCACATAATCATTTAATGGCCACATTACCTATCAATTGGATATAAAAAGCAAAACTAAACCAGTTGCCATCAGATTGATTCTGACTCATGGTGACCCCATATATAACAGAGTAGAACTTCCCCATAGAGTTTTCAAGCCTGTGCCCTTTCAGAAGCAGTTTGCCAGGCCTTTCTTTCAAGATGCCTATGGGCAGGTTCCCCAGCCTTTCAGTTAGTAACTGAGCACATAACTGTTTGCACCACTCCTATCAGTGGGATAGGTCATAGTTTATTTAACCATTCTTCGAGGAGGTTATCAATAACTTCTTTCATATTGTTATTTTCAGATATTCATTGAAAGTAGAGGTAAATGTCTAACATATTTACTTTAAAGCAGTTAAGGAAAAGATGTCAGTAACAGTCATTTCCTAGGCCCTGAGAAAAAATTTAAACATATGGTTTTGTCATCAAATAATTTTAACCTACTCTGCCACCCAAGTTACTTTCTAAACATGTCACCTCTCCAGGGTGCCTAGTGCATATCACAGCCTATGACATGGTTGCTTCTTGTGCACGCTAATAGCAGCATTTTATATTCCACTGTATATTGGAATGACTATTCCTAAAGTGAAGACTGCTGAAATTCTTTTGGTGGCCAGAGAATACATTACAATGTCAATCCTAAAAATAAAATTAAAAAGTGTCTCTATTTCTCTCCTTGCCTCCCGCCATTTCAGACATTATTCTTGATGGACTTAACATGCATGAAGACAATGCATCTAGTACCTTGGCCTCTCAGTTTCATGACCTCCTTGCCCCCAGTCATCTGATCTTCTAGTCTGTGTCAGCCATCTATCCCGTGATTGTATCCTAGATCTTGTCATTAGTAATTGCACACGCTTTAACATCTGTATAGCAGGTATCCCACTCTGTCCACCACCTCCCACGTTTTCAGCTTCCTCTCTTTAGTACTCTGGCTTCAGTCCTTAGCTTAGACTTCATGATTTATCATTTTATTCTTTTGTAGCATCTCTCTCCCTTTGTCACACTTACCTTGGGAGAATCCCAACTTTGGTTAAATCTCACTTTTAGCTCTTCTGCACATGCACTCGAGTAGATGAGAAGCTGGAGAAAAACACAGTAATACTGATGGGTCTCGCCGTAGATGCGTGATCACTCCTAACTTTCAGTAGGTTCTGGGTTTCCATTGCTTTCCACTTTACCTCTCTTCAGGGTGAGTATTTCACACATAACCTTCTCTCAAACCTCCAGTATCCCGTCTCCACTCCTCATTCATAGCTGCTGACTTTGCTTCATATATCATTGATACAACTGAAATAATCGGAAGAGAACTTTCATATCCTCTGTCCACCAGATGCATCAGCTTGCCTGCATCTGTTTCTGTATTTGCTGCTTTCCTTCCTTGTGAACTGCCTTTGCCCCATCTAAGGCTATTTGTGCACTAGATACCATCTTCTCAATTACTCAACTAAGGTAGCCTCCTTCACTTATTCCCCCTCTCTCCTACATTATCAGTTTTTCTTCTACATCATTCCCACAAACATATAAACATGCTGAAATACCTCCCATTTCTCCTGCCTGATTTCACAACTGTTTACAGGTAGCTGTCTCTACTTCCTCTCCTCCCATTCTCTCTTGAACCGCTTCAGTCTGACTTTGATCAGGTTACCCCCACCCCCCACCCCTGCACAGAACTGCTGTTAGCAGAGTCAACAGGGATCTACAAGTTGCCAAATCTGATGGCTGGTTATCAGTGCTCCTTTCCTGAACCTTTCAGCACTACTTAACACAATTGATCACACTACTGGGAACACTTTTTTTGCTTGCCTTCTAGGATACTACTTTCTCGTTTTTTCTTCTACCTCAGTGATTGTTCCTTGCTTGTCTCCTTTGTTCATTCCTCTTAAACTTAATAATCGGAAATGTTGTGTCCCAGAATTTAGTCCTTGTGCTTAACTTTCTAGGGAGTCTTCTTTATTGCTGTGGCTTTAAATTTCATCTATATACTGATGACATCCACATTTATATCTCCCGTACCTATTCCTCTCCTGACTCCATGCCCATATTATATCTGTTTGCCTTCCCCACAATGCATCTCAGATATCTAAAACAATCTTGTATTTAACATTTCCAAAACTAAATTATTACTTCCCATATCTATTCTTTTCTCAGTCTGCCTCATCTCAGTTAACAATTCAATTTTTCCAGTTGTTCAGGCCAAAAGCCTTGGTATTATCCTTAACTTATTCCTATCTTTCACATCCCATGTCCACATTGGTTCACCTTTAAAAATACAGGCAGAATCTTATCACTTTTCACCCCCTCTACTGCTACCACAGGAGCACTGGTGGCACAGGGGCTAAGCACTCAGCTGCTAACCGAAAGGTCAGCAGTTCAGATCCACAGGAGAAGGATGTGGCAGTCTGCTTCCGTAAAGATTACAGCCTTGGAAACCCTATGAGGCAGTTCTACTCTGTCTTATAGGATTGCTATGAGTTGGAATAGACTCGAGGGCAGTGAGTTTACTGCTACCACCGTATTCCAGGCTGACATCAGCTCTTGCCTAGATAATTGCGGTAGCTTTCTAGTTCGCTTCTCCATTTTCACCCTTAGCCCCTGCGTCTTTTCTTCACACAACAGCCAGAGGGATCATTTAAAAATACAAGTCAGATCATAGCATGTTTCTCTACTCAAAATCCTCCATTTGCTTCCCATCTCACTCAGAATAAAACAAGTTGTCCTTTCATGCTCTGTAAGCCACTGCAGTGTACAGCGTCTGCCCCCTACTTACCTTTTGGACATCTCTTATCACTCCTGCACTGTGCTCCAGCCATACTGGCCTTGTTGTTAGTAAACACACCTAGCATGTGCTCACTTCAGTCTTCGCGTTTATTTTCCTTTGCCTGAAATGCTCTCCCATGTGCTTTTCTTTCTCATGGTTCATTTCTTTCATTCAGGCCTCGGCTCACGTGTTACCTTCTCAGGCCTTCCTCTCCATTGTCCATCTGAAGTAACCACCTCCCATCACCTTAATCACTTTACTCTGCTTTACTTAACCTCATAGACCTGATACAATTATGTATTTATTTATCTGTCTTCATTTTATTAATTGTTGCACCTAGAAGTTGTTTGTTGCCATCGAAGAGTGCCGGGTAAATGCCAGCAACTCTCACTTATTGTCAAGGATCTGTTCCTGAAAATACCACATTTTGCACAGAAATGCTGACAGGGATCCTATTTTTCATTATCGTAAGAGGGAAAAATTATAATGCTTTATCAATTTAAAGCTCCCACCCACTTTCCTAAAATATCACTCCATAAAACCTATATAAGAACAACAAATTACTATCATGTTGATAGCCCTGGTGGCGCAACAGTTAAGCACTTGGTTGCTAACTGAAAGGTTGGTAGTTCAAACCCACCCAGCTGCTCCATGGAACAAAGACCTGGCTATCTGCTCCCGTAAAGATTGCAGCCTCAGACACTGTGGGGCAGTTCTACTCTGTCACATTGGGTCACTATGATACGGAATCAACTCAAACGTACCTAACAGCAACAACTTTGATATTTTGAGTTTTGAGATTTTACTGTTTTGGAAAATAAATAATAAAACCAAGAAAGGTCATAAAATTAAGATTACTAGCACAGAAAATACAAGTATTATTGAATAAAAACTCACTTTTTATCACCACAGAGTGCCAGGATATGAAATTTATTCCTAGATTTTCTTGGTACTTTAAGCAGCATAAAGGGATTATAATGGAATGGAAAAAAAGTTATTAGTAATGAAGTCTATCTTTCTCACACTATAGATAAAAACCTCACATTTTTGAAGCAGATAACCCAAACCAAGGAAATTAATTCTTACTGCCAGGAAATAAATATGAATCAGTTCCTATTACTCTCCTTCTTAACAACCTTCAGTGACTTCCCATTACACTTAGAGTTAAATCCACCCTTCTTCCAAGGTGCACAAGGCCCTGCGTGACCTAACCCTGCCTGTATTTCTAACCTCGTGTAGCACACGTTTCCCACTCACTCACCGTGCTCCAGCCACACAGGTCCTGTCTGGACCCTCCCTTTGCACATGCTGTTCTCTCTGCTTGGAATGTTTTTATGCATTCTTTGCTTGGCCAGCTCCTTTTATGACTGCATAACTGTTACGTCCTGAGACACCTTTCCTAGTTCCCCTGCCTAACATAGGTCCTCAGTTTTCTCATCTGTTTGTTTCCTTCATAGAAAAAGTTGCATTACAACGTGCAAATACCAATATTTTTTTTTTCTCCCTGCCTGTACCAGAATATAATGTTGGGTCTTATTCATCATTAAATGCTCATCACCTGGCCCATATTAGGTTTTCAGTAAATATTTACTGAGTGGATGGATGGAGATCCTTCAGAGAAACATTTGTGTATGAATTCAACCAGTTTGCAGATTTTATTAAGACAAAACTTCATAAAGAGATAAATGTGTTAAATTTATTAATAACGTATGTTGACTAAACTGTCATCTTTAACATTCAAATGTTTCATGTAATAGAAAACATGAAAATATTTAAAACATGTCTTGTTTCTCACTATTAGTGGTGTAAAGTATAATTTGCTAGCTCATACTACTCTGACCTTGGAAAGTACTGAGGATAGCTTCAAGACGCATAATCTGTCTATTAATGGAAATGGTAAGTACATTTTGTACATTATATGTTTTACTTATTACATATATTATGCATATACATATGTGGTGTCAGTAATTTCTAATTTTAATATGTTCCCCTGAAACAGATATTGGTTTAAATATTATAAGCATGAGTGACCCTGTGGGTTCTTTTAAACATATCTATCCCCTTTTGCCAAAGGAGGAAAGTTTATTTTCCTCTCTCTATGCTCTTTGCCACATATTTGTTTGTGAAGCTAACTTAGTGACTACAGAAAGATTTTAGGTGTTCTGAGTCCTTGTCTTTGACTTGAAATTGATGACCTCACCACTTTGGCAAACGAAGACCTATTTTACTTTTAAATTTGAAATTGAGGCAGTTAACCCTTCTGTTGGTAGGAAGCAGAGGATATAAAAGAAGATAGGACTACGTTAATCGTAACCTTTTCCTCTCTGGAGATAGTAATAGCTGCAGTTTATCCAAGAGAAAGGTATAGGAAGGTGAAGAAGGTGATTAGATGATTAGGGAGGTTTGTAAAACTTGGTGTGAGCACTCTCCACTCTCCCAAATTATTTTTATCTGTGATGAAAAATACGGTAAAGTATTTTGGAAAGGTAATTTGGATTATTTATTTTTGTTTATTTTCTGAATATGTAAACTATGTGGTAAGTGCACTCATTACCTCGTACTACTTTAACTTTGTAAAGATTGGTGGCTCCATACTGATGAGATTTATGGTTTTACAACAGTATTTTTTTTTTTAATTTCCTAATGAAAGTTAAAAATAGAAGTCCATAAAATGTAAATGTACAGTTTAACAAATAATTATGAGATGAATAGCTGTGTAACTACCTCCCATGTCAAGAAATATATCATTGCCAACACTAAAACTCATACCAAACCCGTTAATGTCAAGTCAATTCCAACTCATAGCAACCCTGTAGGACAGAGTAGAACTGGCCCATAGGGTTTCCAAGGCTGTAATTTTTACAGAAGTCAACTGCCACATCTTTCTCCTGCGGTGCAGCTGGTGGGTTCAAACCACCAACCTTTCGGTTAGCAGCTAAGTGCTTAACCACTGCACCACCAGAAACTTAGTTACCTTAGGGGTAAATAGATGTCATCTTTTATGGTATTTGTTTCCTTTTTTTCTCTTTGTGGTTTTACTACCTATGTAGGCTTCCCTAAATAATATAGCTTAATTTTGCCTAGTTTGGACTATGGAATCACATTGTATGTCTTATTAATGACTTGCTTTTTCTGTTCATCTTTGTGTATGTATGCATTTTCATTGCTTATATTATTTCATTGTATGATGATATCACCATCCCTTATTCTGATTCTATTATTTTTAAAAGTTACAAGAATCTTCAGGTTTTCTGTTTCTTCTTGAGTCCATTTCAGTAAATTATATTTTTCTAGATATATATCCATTTGTTATAAAATTTGAAATTTTTTAGCATTAAATTCTTCATGATATGTTCCTGTCTATTGAATTTCTGCAGCATCTGTAGTGATGCCCCCCCTTTTCAATTCCTGGTGTTAACTTTTTGTGCCTTCTGTAAATTTTTTTTTTGTTGTTGTTGTTTTTCAATCATTCTTGCCAAATGTTTGTCAGTTTTATTAATCTTTTCAAAGAGCCTTCCTTGGACTTTAAAAAAATTTCCATTATAAGTTTTTTTTACTATTCCATTAATTCTTTTTTAATTTATTTAATTTCTTTCCTTTTACTTTCTTGAGGTTTATCTTGTGATAGTTTTTCTGTCTTCTTGAATTGGATGCTTAGCTCGTTGATTTTCAGCCTTTCTTGTCTAATATTAATATGTGCATTTAAATTTATAAATTTTCCGATAAATACTGCTGTATTTATCCCATAAGTGTTGCTGTATTCCCTACATTGTGATACATAATATTTTCCACTTTAGAATATTTTGTGATTTCTACTGTGATTTAAACCTTGAGCTAATTTTAAATGTATTTTCTAATTAACAAAATGTAGTGTCATCTAGTTTTCTAGCTTAATTTAAGCATTGTGATCAAATAATATAGTTTATCACTTCAGACCTTTGAAATCTGTAGAGACTGTATTATGGCCCAGTATATAGCCAGTTTTTATAAATGTGCCATTTATCTTGGAAAAGAATATATTTTTTGAAATTATTCTATATGTACTAATTATTTCTTAGAAATATTGTACAAATTTTCTGTTCTTAATGATTATAGTCTACATATTCTATGTTACTGAGAGAGGTATGATAAAGTTTCCTACTATGATTATGGATTTTTCTAATTCTCATTGTTCTGTCCATTTTTGATTTGTATAACTTGAGTCTTTGCTATTTAATGCACAAGGATTTAAATTGTGTGTTTGCTTCTGTTTTTTTACCCTAACCTTTACTTATTTTTAAGTTATAGACATGCCCGTCCAGATAACATTATATTGGATTTTTATTTTTATCCTTTTGACAGTCTCCTTCCTTTTTACTGTAGCATTTAATTCTTTTACATTTAATGTCAAATAGTTATATACTTGGTTTAAATCTACCATCACACTCTGTGCTATTTGTTCTCCCAGTTCCATGGTTCTTTTTCAAGGATTGATTACTTTTATTATTTCAAGTTTTCCTTGTTCTAATTGAAGTTATACGTTTTTTTCTCATGCTTTAGAATTACCCTTGGATTTCATTAATCATACTTATTTATCTAAAGTTAAAAGATAGTTTTATCTTTTTCTCAGACTTACGCTTAAAACACCAAAGCCTAAAACTGTTACCCAAACTTATTTGACATTGGAACTTGTAGATTCCACAGAACAAATTTTAAGAAACACCAACTTCTGTGCTTAACTCTTTTTATGGGATAGGCATGTTCCTGGAAGTGTATGTGTAAATTGATGTCTTATAAATTAATCATATTTTGAAAAAGAAGAAAGCCTGTTATTAAAAGGAAAAGACTTTATGAAGAAAAAAAAACCCCCTAATTTATTCAGTAATAAAGTCTGTATGTTAATATAATGGGCTTACCTAAATAGATTTATGCCAATATCTGCTAAATACTATACTGTACCATACCCACTGCCGTCGAGTCGATTCCAACTCATAGCAACCTTACAGGACAGAGTAGAACTGCCCCATAGGATTTCCAAGGAGCAGCTGGTGGAGTCAAACTCCTACCCTTTGGTTAGCAGCCAAGCTCTTAACCGCTGCACCACCAGTGCTTCTCTAAATACTATAGAATCAAGATAAAATACAAAGATTTTTTAAATTATAACTCAATTTTATTGTTCTTGCTAGTTGAAAGGAACAGCCAAAATGATATCTTAAGGTTTATATTTGGAGTCAAGAAATTTTTATACTTTTTATAAGATAATGAAACCACATTATGAAACATTGACTCATACGGAACTGAGATGTTATCTGGCTTCTTTCTCCTGCCTGTTTTTCTCATTGTTGTTGTCGTTTTTAAAACTCCTTGTTCCTTATTCGAAAATATGGATGAATTACATAAAATCTTCAAGTAATGAAAGTCAAACTTCTCTTTATCTTCTTGTTTCATTTCATCTGGCCCTAACACTTTCCCAGGTTAGAAAAGAAGAATTAAATATTTTGATTAGTATGTTGTACAAAGACTTAAAGGAAACATTGAAAAATGGAAAGGGCATGGTTTTGGGAGTCAGACTGCCCTGGACTGGAAATTATGGAAAGCATCTATTTTATCTCAGACACAATAATAGATGTCATATACACATTATCCTATGCAATTTTCACAACAACCCCCTACCTAAGATGAGGTGGTATTTTAAAAATGACAAATTGATTCTCAGATAGGTTAAGTGACTAGCTTAGATGCCATAATTCTTGCCCAGGAGTATAGAGAAGAATCTGTGACTCTACATTTTATTCCACAAATGGTCCTGCATTGTAGAGAAATCTAGGTTAGAAGTAACAGTTAATTGCAGGTATGTAGCAAGAGAACTGCAGAGCAGCAAATTCTAAATCCAGTATCCCTGTCAGGAAGTATTTTTCTTGTTCTACTGTGAAATCTGCACTTATTTTACCAGAGAAACAAATTGTTACACGTGGTATTTAGGTTCCGGATACATTATTTATTGCACAAACTTTATGGACTGGTCTGAGAATTTAATCATTTATGATTCAATTGCTTTAGGAAGTGCATTCTAACTTAAAAACAGCTAGCTTACAGATATGTAGAACATAAGCCATTCATAAATCAGGATTGCCTGTATAAAGAATTTTACTTTTAAACTTTAAATTCATAAATCAGAAAGTTGATTTCAGGTGTATTACTCAGATGCATGCTTTTATAGAATTCTTATTTATTTATCTCTGTGTTTTGGAATCATTGCCTATATTGAATATATGAATGTATTTCTCCCAGGTGAAACCTTCTGTTTCTAAAAGCTAACAGCTTTAACAAGGTATTAATAAATAATAAAAAAAAAAAAATTGTTTTGAAGAGTCCAAGAAAATTTGTGTGCCGTTCTATAGTAGAATGTTGGTATATAAGTTGATAAAATCTTTTTTGTTTTACTTGCACTATTGATTTAGATGGTTGTTCTTTTGCCTTTAACTGATGTACCAAGCCTTGGCTACCTTGCATCTGTATAGTAAATAACTATTTTTACCAATTTTTTTTTTTCCTAGAGTACTAAGGTTTTTTGGTAATAATACTAAGAGTGAGTAGCTAGCCATTTTATGGCACTACCAACAGGGGTGCAGCAAAAAGCTTTGAAAACCGTTTTTGTGTGTTCCAGTGTGGACCAGGGCCATGTGTTGGGTTTGTATTTATGCTCTGATGTACAGAATAAATTATCATATTCAATGCTTTCCATATAGGTAAGAAGGCCATATACCTACCTGCAGACTACATCAAGGGAATGTCTTAATGTTTTTTGAATTTTTTTTCACATTTACAGAAAAGTTGCAAGTTGAATGCCAAATCTTTTATTACCAAAAAATGTATGAGAACAAGTTGTTCACATGGTGATGCGTTACCTTCTACTACGCTAATATGTATTTCCTACTAACTGAACATCCTGCTACATCACCGCAATACAACTATCCAAGTCTAGAAATGATACTGATACGTTCCTACCGCC